TATGTTAGCCCAGGGTTATGTTGAAAACTCAATGCATAATAGACAGATGATATACAACGGAATTACTCAAAAAATTGCAACTGATATTGAGCCGAAACCATCAACCAGTAAAGAAACAACCACTGTGCAAGAAAATGATGATTTTGAAATCAATTGGGCAGATTATGATGATGATTTTACCGGAACAGACATTAGTGACGTTAATGACCTTGCTAGCAAGAATGATAATAATAACCCTAAGAAAGTGAATCCGATTTCAAGTAAAAACAAAAATATACATTTATTTACCAAAAATACTTATATATCCCATTTTCTACTCATATACTTTTTTTCAGCTAAAGTTGTAAGCAACGGTTTCACTACAGCGAATAAAATACCGATTTCTGTACCAGTTGGGATTCAGTCTAAACTCAATAACAACAAAAATTTATTCATTAATAAACCACCAATAAAATTGACTTTCAATAATCAGTCAACTGATGCCCCGTCTTCTCTGCCAAAAAAAAGAAAAATTATTGAAGTTTTAAGTACTAAAAAAAATGATGACGTAGATTTGCATGTGAAAGAATATGATTTAAAATTTGAAAATTGTACTTTCAATAATTGCGTGTTCAATTATCCTCGGCTTCGCCTCGGCCATCATATCACATACGCCAGGAAATCCAACTTTCTGGCCTTGGGACGTAATATACTATTCTTTTTATCATGCAAGGAATCATATACATCAAGCATATATTTTAACAGTTATAAAAAAATGAGAAGCGTTCGTGACTTTTGGAATATTCTGTATGTATTAAAATATCAATCTAATTAATCTAATTACCGTAATGATAATTATACCGTTTTAGACAATATAATTAATGTTCAAATTTATATATACAATAGAACTTATATAATAACTGTATTATATAAGTTCCATATAATTATATACAATTATATAAGTTTTAATTATATTAAAACTTGTAATTATATATATAACTATTTAATAGATTAGATTAATTAGATTGACATTTTAACACGTGAGAATTAATGA